TTTTTTTTCAAGTATACAGGCAGATGCTTCTAGTCATCTGCGATGTATGCTGGTTTGTTTTTCGATGAGAGCATGAAAGGGTTTACTGCATTATACTACTCAATTTTATTACTTCAACTTTTCCTTTTCCCGTTTTAAGAAGAGGAAGATTTGGATATCTTATCTTTGGCCGATGTCTAAGAGGGTGCCTTCATGTTTAGATAAACCCACCTGCAGCAAGTTTGTAGGCCGACACTCGTTGAGTAGTACGGCTACTTTTAAACAACCGACGTTGAATAATAAGGGCTCTTTATTTGTTTCGCCGAAATTATCTTCATCGTCTACGTGTACTCCTATGCTTGTGGAATCTCAAGGACTGAATTATATTGTTACTCAAGAGGGCAATGAGGCTGCATTCCTCCAAGAATCTGTCAGCTCCCGTCCAAATCCAACTCAAAATGCAGCAGCCCCCATTTTAATTGATTTGGCTGATCCGAACGTTGAGGTCGAAGAAAACGATAGTAGTGATTTCTTGAGAGGTTCGTTTATTGCCCTGTTATCTTACAATTCTTACGTTCTGTTGGTTTTAGAGCAGAGGTTTTTGGCGTTTTCGATTATGAGAAGTCATTATGAATTTGTTTATAGTTTTCATGTTTATCTTTTTGACGAGGGTCATTTTCCTCTCCTTTTTCAGCCAGATTACAGTTTTTTACGGTTTTAAAGATGCTCTTCTTCGTTTTCTACACGTCTTTTGCTTGAGAAACTGCCAATGTAAATAGAAGTAATGAGAAAAATAGAACTGAGGCTAATGATTTGTAAGATACAATTATTGCAGATGAGGACTCTGCTTGTGATCAGCTAGGTTCTAGTATGAAGGCCTCTGACAATTGGTACGAGGAAGAATATGTTGATGTAAGTGGATCGTTTTTTGAAATAGAAACAGTTTTAAAATCGTACTTGGTATTTTTATAAAGCAGTTGATGGAACAAGTTAACTTGTTAGAGAAATTCGAAGATGCCGGTTATAAATTTCATTAAATTAAAATCCACTGGAGTTTTTTTACCCTGTGCACCTCTACTTGCCCCTAAAATCTTAATTTCTTGTATGCTTCGACTTCCCACACTTTTCATTTGGATAGGGTCTGATCGTGACCGTTTTTTTATTTCTTCATCTTGTATAAGTTAGAA